ATTTATGATTACTAACAATTTATTGTCATGCTACTAATTTTTATTTTTTTTTCAAGAAATATTTTTCAAATATGCTTTATATAATACTGCAGAAATTAAAAAAAGATCTGAGATCTTTTTATCAATCGTTATTGTATATTAATAATTTGTTTAGCGCCTGAAATGATCATGAAGGTTTACTTCAAATTTTTATGTTTGCAAATGAAAATCTAAATTCATTGCTAATAAGATTCTAAATACAAAAGTTTGTGTTGGCTTTTGCCGTACAACCATAAAACTAAATGGTAAGTTTCTACCTGTCGTATGTCGTCTCTTGTCCGAGATCATCTTCCAATTCCGGGTAGTTCTATTATCGTTCGGAATATCGGCTCTGATCTATTGAGTCGTAGAGACATTTCAATTAAATTATTATCGTATAACATTTTTGAAAATGTTTTGTCTAGGTTCTAATCTATTTTTGGTTAGTTCTAAGCTATTAAGGTCTTCTTCGAGACTTATGGTCGCTACAGATGAGTTATAACCGATGTGGTTAACTCATAGAGTAATTTCGTATAGGGTACAACGTCTGCTCGTCACGCTTTCTTATTTTCGGCCGGATAGATTCGTGCAACTTCTTAGTCTAATACCGATCCTAATCTTACTCTTATACTTACTAGTCTCAGTATGTTTAACTAGTATCTGCTAGGCTCAATAGATCTAGGGTATACTGGTTTATTGCGGCAGCTGAAGTTCTCTTGAAGAGGCAACTAAGTTAAATTCTAAGTTAAACTAAGCATTCTAAGTTAAATTCAAATCTCTCTGGTGCTGAAATTACAAGTAATTTCAGCACTTACAAATAAGTGGGTTGTTAGTTAGATGGATTATGATTGGTTAATATTAAATATTTTACGGTGGTAAAATATCCAATTTATCCAATTATAAAATGTAGTTTAGATCAGGTTCCAAAAGTCATGTATAGAAGAAAAAAATAATCAATCAAAACCAGCTCGTGACTTTCAAAAAATATAAACCTGATAGGTTTTCGGGTTTCTCCTGAGATTTTTTTTTGCACCAAGTACCAAGTATATGAGCAGTGTTAGACAAAAAACTCAACTCTGCAAAAAAAAAAATGTCGTTAACAGATGTTTACAAAACGTTGATTTTTGATGCTTGGAAGTATTTGGTGCTTATCTATCCGTTTTTTCGTGTTTTGTCTCATAAAAGTTAAAACCCCGGGAATGAAAAAAAGAGTTATTTTACAACAATTCTATAACACAAACAAGTTTAGGCGGAAAACCTAAAAAAAAAAACGATTTTTAGTAGTCGAGCTAAATGCGCGGTGAAACTGAGACATTTGAAGATTCATTGAACCTACTGTCCCATATAATCAGCGTTGAATGAATATGAAGCAGAACTTGGTTTTGAGCATAACGATAAGCGTTTTTTTTGATACGCTCCTAAATATTATTTTCTTCGTTTTTGAAAAATTGAGAGATTACAAAATATTGCTTCTATAGAAAAAAAATCGATTATGGCCAGAAGCCAACACTTGGTAATTGGAATTCGCGGCAAAGGCTGGCAATACTGGGGCAGGTTTTGCAAACTTTACTGAATTTGTAGCCACCGGAAAACATCATTGTAAATTTATAGATATATTTCAGCAGAAATCAAGAAAAAACAATTGGCAAAACAATCGAAACAATATGATAAACAAGGATAGCCGGTTACTGTGCAAGTAGCGCTGAAGATTCCAACCATAGGCTTAAAAATACAACAAAAACGTTTGTTTTTTTTTAAAATTAGTGTTGTTTTTTTCGACGTAGTGTGATAAAAAGAACTAAATAATAACAAGAGATTAGACATATTCGCTGGTCATAAAAAACAAGTAAATTGAAAAACAATTTTCATAGAAAAATGACAAGAAAAACGAAAAAAATTTCAATTTTTTTTGCTGTTTTTGAAGTTTCACCGCACATTTTTGAATTTTTGTTTGAAAATTTGATTCCAGAAAGGCGCTACAATACTCAAAAACATACTCAAGAAAAACTAAACGTTGTATATTAATCTATTGCAAGCTTTTAAGCCATCAAAATAAGCTATATTGAGCCTGCGCGCTCGCTTTATTCGCTCGAATTCTGTCGAAAAATCAAAAAATTTCCAACCGGTTTTTCTCGAGACTGGGAATTTTTTGGAAATTTTTTTATTTAGTTTGAATCACAACTGTAAGGGTTGATATAATATTCAACTTTCTCTGATGATTATTTGAGGTAGCTGATTTTGCGTGGAAAACAAAAATGAAAAAATAAGAAAAACTTTTTTCAAGTAGTCGGAACAAAAACGTTTGATGTATTGTAAAGCACAATTTTTGAGATGCAATAAAACACAAATGGCTCTATTTTTATTACTTCAGGATTAGGTATGTTTCCTTAAAATACAAGTACTTAACAAGGGGCGGATCTAAAATTTTCTCGAGGGGGTGGGCGAATTTTCAAAAGTTATCGTTTTTAGGTCGACCAAATTGATTTTTCGAGCTCTCCCACAGCACTAAAAAGTCCCTGTTTTGGTCTAATTTTCTGTACCTAATTTTGAAGAATTTGGCCGAAAAAGGCGTTTTTTGGCGAGCGCTCCCCTCTCAAATTTATTATATATTGGCGCCGAAGGTACCTTTTTTAGATTCCGTCACTAAAAATTGATATCTCAAAATAGTACAAAGGGGGACCGTTTGGGTCGGCAGGGGTCGAATCCCTAAGGAGGAAAGGAGCGTCCGTCCCCCCCCCCCCCCTAAATCCGCCCCTGTACTTAACATTAACGATACAGTTTTCCTTGGCATGGTATAACCAAAAATGACTGACAGTGTTCTTTATTGGAGTAGTATATTTTTGTCAATAGAACCCGATTGCTCTAAATTATTCATGATACCATTTATAAACATAGATCAGATGAAATTACTACGAAGCGATTCAGGTAAACGTCTTACACAAATATAAAATATGTAACAAAATTTACATCATTATTTAAACCTGTAGTGGAAAATAACTATGCGCTTGATGTCATTTTTTCTCAATCTAGTTAACCTAAAAAAATTGTACAACTGTGATATAGTAAAGCAGTTTCATTCGTGATTCCGAAAATGAAATTTCAAAAAATGGTCGCAGCTTCGAGAAACTCTAGTCTGAGTTTTTCCGTTTTTCATACTAAATGACATACACCATTCTAGTACTATTTCTACATTAATTTAGCTATGTTCTTCAGTTTTGCAGATTTTGACTTAACTTCTTTTTCCTTTTCCTTTCCCCCACCTTTCATAAGCGTTCGTTTTATGATATAACAAGGGGTTTTACAGCGTCAAGTAGGAAGACCAAATATTATTATCATGGCCTATCTAGTATTTATAATTTTTATAACATTAACACATCTGCCACTGTGAAAATGAAAAAAAAACAAACTTGTGAAAGCTCCAAGGTGGGGGAAAAGGGACAAAGAGTCGGAAAATTAGTTTGACGGACTCCAAAAACCGACAAGAAGTTTGTCGGATGAGGTTCCGGAAATCCGCGTACATCTCTGAAAATCATAGATCCTCTCCTAGTCAATGGATAGTATCAACGACCGGTTTGATGGCGTTGTTTTAAGTAGCAGAAAATTCAAAACTGATTCGAAGTTTTTTCGAACAAGCTTGACTACTGATTATGGTCAAGTTTCTATCTGACTGTAAACTAAAATTCATTATATAGTCATTCTAATTTTCAGACATTTGACAAAACTGATTCAGTTCTACGTCAGAATTCAGAATACAAAAACCCTTGTGTATGTTGCAGTTATCGAGGCAGGATCAAAATTAACATCCTGATCAGACGGGTCGGTTGACTCCAGATTCTGTTTGACTTAAATTAAAACACAAAAGAGAGTACAATTCTGATTCTATGATATGTATTATTTATTCCATTAACAATCTTGATGACAATTGTAGACGAATTAGCCCGATAGATGAAAGTGAAGCTGTTATTTCACAAATTGGCGACAGATCAAAGTCGTATGAAAATTGGTTACCATATTGCCACGCAATAATCAGCCAGCCTGCGCACAACATATTTCGATCAATGAAAATAAGTCAGAAGCGATTATCAGAAACATTAACCGACTTAGGCTCGACGAAGCTCCACCAGAGCAACGAAGCAACATTTTGAGTCCCAGAATCGAACATCAGTAGTGTGCTGAAAAACTGGAACATCCAATCAGACAACAGGATCTTAAACAGCACTTTGTAAAATCTTCATTCGTCAACGGAGGTAATGAAGCAATTAAGCGATCATTCAGTTAGCTCGGTACTCACCCAAAATGACATTGAACTTTCAATTGAAAACAGTCGCGAGTATATCAAATGTAAAGATTCAATTGATGGTCGGGCTATTTGGCGATACATTCGAGAAACTTCTCAGAACATTACAGAGGAAGAGCACGAATTGCTAAAATTCTGCATAGCTGAGTTGTCAAAAATCAGAAGTTATTCGGTCAAATCAAACATGGAATTGCGTGTTTATTCTGACTTGCTAAGTGGTTCCAACCCCGTATTTTATTCCGGTCGGCGACGGAGGAAATTCGTAGCCGTATGGCACAAAAATAAACAACCGGAATTTATCGAAGATTCGCAAAGTAGTTTGAATTACTTTCCGATTTGGTTCACAAAAAAGTTACTAATCATTATTTGTTTAGCTAGTTTTTTAATGTATGTGTGGTTTATGGTTGCTGAGTTCCACGAATTTGTACTTGAACTTGGCCGAACATTCAACGCGACGATAAATATAAACGGGAAAACGGACTCAGATCTGACATTTGATGATCTGGATATAAATATAAATATTTGATACTATTTTGTGAAATCAGCTATTAGATGTTTGCAATTTTGTTAATTTATTGCATTTTGAGTTAAATTTGAGCCCACATTTTGACAACATACTTTAAAAAAAACATTGCCGTTGCTATCAAAAATTGACTGAACGGATTTCAAATTTAATTTTTCTGCAATTTCAATTTCAATAAATTATACAATATTCAACCCGCTTCCTTTTCACTTTCGTCGCTTTTAGGCTTTTCGACTAGAGTTGTGTTTTCATTCGGCGCTTTTTTGTGTCTCGGACAATCACACGAAGACTTGAGTAAGCCTTCTTTCCACATGTAATGAAACGAAAATGCAGTCGATACTGAAATATACAGACCCAAACAAATGCAGCTAATATGAAACTCCACAGTTTCGTAAAGAATCCCCCCAAAAATAACAGGACCTATTGTCCCCCCAAAGGCAAACTGGGCGTTGAGGACGCCGGAGATAAGCGTCCCAATAGGGGTCACGCCTTTTCGGGTGCAATCGAAGTATAAAAGCGCAAACGTCGGAGTAATGCATGTCATCGCGGAGCCTCCGGCTATTAGAAGGAGAAACGCGTACATTTCGAAGTTCTTCTCAAAGGGTTCCGAGCGTGTGATTGTTCCGAGGAGGAGTAGGGAAGATGCAAGAGCGAATCCTCCGATGGGAACTGGGATGAAGTTGTGTCTGTCGGCGTAATAAGTGGCCACTGGCACTGTGAAGAGATAAGCTAGTCCGACAACTGATAGCAGGACTGTCGTTTCGAAGTCCGACATGTCCATGTATTCGTGGAACTCAACTGACAATACTGAAAACAAACTGCATCAATAATTATGTTCTTGTTTATTTCATTTGAGGGTACGGTACTGCTTTCTTGATGACTTCTTATACCCGTATAAGACCCAAAGAGTGGATAGTTTTAAGATAAAATTGTCAATTTTAGATTTTTAAACAAAATAATTTGAACAAAAGTGTTTTCAAGCTCTCATAATAGACCACATTGGTCCTATTTGAAAACGAATTTTCAGTCCGCCGGTTTGAGGACAAACCCCTCTCCCCCTTTCTTCACTATCTTCGCTCAATAAAATAACACAGTCTGGAATGTGGGGAGATAAAAAAAAATAAAAATGGACTATCCTCGACAGGACTGTTAAGGCCTACTGATAGCACCTCTGAAATTTACAGGAACCACATTATTATTATTTTATTATTATCAAAATTAATAGATCTGCATTTATCATTTCAAGAATTATGTCTAAGTGAATAAATGGTTCCAAAGTTTGGATTTGATGAAATCATTTCAGAAGCGTTGAAGTTTTTAAATTTTCGATTCAAGATTAGGCTTCTATCGTACCTGTCTCGGTGTAGCCAATCATAGAAGTGGCAGCCAACATAGTCAACGTCAACAGCTGCACAGGCCCACTGAAGTAATATTTCAAAAAGGCGTCCACACCACTCTTCTCGACCTCAACCACAACCTCCCCCTCCCCCTCTTTCAAAGCAGCGGGGGAGGGGACAAGGAAGAAGCCTATGAGGGCCACTGTTTGAAGGGAGGCGATGAAGACGAAAGGGTAGGCGTATCCTGCTAGGAAGTAGAGTCCGATGCTGATGCTGGGTCCAAGTACCACTCCCATGACCACACCCAGTTCTGTGATGCCACTAACCACCGCCTCTCTGTTGGGGATGTATTCCATCAGCAGTGGCAAACCTGAGAGTGAACACAACTGTAAGAAAACTGAACAGCTCTGCGCATGCCTATTAAAATTTATATTTAAAACATTGGAGCTAATAAAAATGGTAGGTAAGGTTAGTCGTCTTCAAGATTTTTTTTTGCCTCAGGCTTCAGTAAATTAGATTTCGGCTACTCGTTAATATTGCCCTATTGAAAACAAGGCTCATATTTGTTTACGAAACTTCTGCTTTGTTTATACTGATTAACAACCAAAAACACAGTCGACAGACAGTTGTAAGTAAGCGCTGAACGCAAGGAAATAGAAAAAAATTGACGAATTAAAAAAAATCTCATATTTTGAAGTCCAACGAAACAAATATATGGATGGCCTTAAAACGCAATTTTTGAGAACAATTCCAGAATTTCTAGGCCTTAAAACTCAAATTTTGATATATTGACTCAATTTGAGAAAAATGGATCAATAAATAAATTTTTTATTCCGCTGGGAAACCTGAAATCCACTTCTGAAACTAGAAGTCTATCATGTTTTTCGTAACCTTTACGAAAATTTGTCCCTAAACCAATCGATTTTTTTTGAGACTTATTCTTTTTGAAAATTAGACACAATAGTGAAATTTGCACGAAAGTAACTTTTCATTGGTAATTTCCATTAACATTTTTTTTTCAAAAACAGTGAGTGTCGCTTGCTGTTGGCTTAGCGCAAAAAAGTTCACTACAACGATTTTTTAAAGAAAACAAAAAAAAAATTTAAAAATGGTTGTTATTTTTAAGCAAAAATGGCTTATTTAGATGAAAAAAGAATGAGAAGCAAAAATAGATAACGTGATGCAGGGGTGGATCTAGGATTTTCTCGTGGGGGGGGGGGGGCGGATTTTCAAAAAAAATCGAAAATTTTGACGACCTTTTTTTTTAGGTAGACCAAATTGATTTTTTGAGCTCTCCCAAAGCACTGTAATGCCCCGAAATTTGGCAAAATTTTCTGCCCTGCGATTTTAGGCACGTTTTTAGGGCGTTTTTAGGCACTTTTTGGAAAATTTTGACCAAAAAATTGCGTTTTTTCGGCGCGCGCTCCCCCCTCAAAATTAGTAAATATTGGCGCCAAAGGCGCCTTTAGAAAAATTTTAGGGTCGGTCGGCCAAAAGTGGATTTCTTAAAAAATACCAAAGGGGGGACCCTTTGGGTCGGCAGGGTGTCGAATCCCTGAAGGGGGGGCGTCCGCTTCCCCCCTAAATCCGCCCCTGACGTGATATTAAGATAAATTGTAGAAGTGTTGAATTAGGAGACAAACTTTTTTCACACTTTGTAGCTTGATGCCCCATTTTAGCTCTCACAAGCTTTTTCAGTTCCCATTTTGACAGAAAATGCTAGTTTTGCGAGCCTCATACTACGTCCCTCATACAAAAAGTGTATAAAAATTGATGAACAGCTTTATTTACAACTGAGAACTGTACGACTAGCTGTTTTTGTCTGGTTTTTGAACGACTGACAATTTATCGTTGTAAGTAATCTCATGACTAGATTTTTCTTTTGAAAGTAAAATCGAAATTTTTGGCTTTTTTGTTAAGTTTTTCCACTGATGTTGACTTCCTTAAGTTAAAAAAAATATGATACAATTCAGTTAATGATGCCATTGTAAAAAAATGTATCATACTATTTTATTTATGAAAATTATACGATAAGCATTTTTTTTGTTCAAACTAAATTCCAAAAATCCTGTAAATTTAGTTTTCAATTATTTTGAATTACTTATTTTTTGTCATAATGCAATGTGAAATTCAAAAGTTTTTTTTTGCAAATCTCACAATGTAATTTAATCTGCATTATTGAAGCCGTTTAACATATTGGTTTTCTGATTTAAATATGCGCTAGTTTTTTGTCACAGGGCAAAACGCAAAAAAAATAAAGCAAAACTGAAAACAAGCTGGACTTTTTTAACGATTGTAAACCATACGTGATTTAGAAATAGGCAATGCATACAACAAAATCCATACAAATTTTTTTTAGAAATGTTTATTTGAATACAGAATTTATTTTGCGACAGGAAAAAAATGAGATGTAATCGAAACGTAAGCAACATAATTTGTTGCGTCTAAGAAAAAGATTTATGTTTAAAGTTTTGTCAATCAATTTTAACAAACTAGTTACAGCTGTGTATGACGCTGATGACACTAAACTCTAAATTGTGACTAATTTCTATAGGTTTTTTAGATGATTCGAATCAGATAACAAATACTATGTGTATATTTTCATTCCGGTGCATATACAAAACAGTCCCATACAAAACAGTCCAATACAAAATAGTCCCAAAAATCATGCAATGGAGGAGAAAACAGTCCAATACAAAACAGTCCGGTTTAAGGTCGCCGGTGGGCGCGCTACGCGCGGGTCGCCGCTTTGCGGCGATAACCGGCTCTAAATTTCGTATTAAGTCCTACCCAAACACGTTGGCGCGATAGCAGCGGTCACTATTTTGTTCATTATGCTTTTCGGACTGTTTTGTATCGGACTGTTTTTTCTTTCATTTTCATAATTTTCCGGACTGTTTTGTATTGGACTGTTTTGTATGGGACTGTTTTGTACAGACACGTTTCATTCCATATTTTTCTGTTTTAATTACAAATCAAATACAGCTGAGCAGTAACTAATTGAAGCCATTTCAATTGTAATTTGATCTTTTTTCAATTTTCAAGATAAATTGATTTGAGTTTCACGCTCGAAGCTATTTCGTTCCGACCATTGAAACTTCGGGTTTTTTTTCTCGGTTTTTCCAGACAAAATATGGTACAACAAATCATCATTGGACTGGGCTGAGTAATCTATTTTATAAAAACCCTTTAAAAATTTCAAAATAATTTCCTGGTTAATTTACCAATGTTTCGATTTCTTGTCTAATCAAAGCGAATAAAGATTTTTGGTTAAGCATGTAATAGGCATATAATTGTTATTCTTAAACCTTTTTAAAATAATTAACTATTACCTAGCGTAACTCATTTGAAATGAGTTATCGAATATTATTTTTGTGGGAATAAAATTTTAAAAAGTTCTGCAAAAAAATTGAAAAAAGTTTAAATTTCTTTTTTTCTAATTTTCTTTGATGTATTTGTTTTTAAAATTATTTTATGAGAAAAATTATTGTCAACTACCCAGTTTGCTTTACAAGTTTCAATCGAGTTCCAGGTTTTCATTTGGGTTCTATTATCACACCGAAAAAAAAAAAGAAACGACGCAATTTGAAAAAAAAACTTTGTTGTAGTTTTTATAACAATTTGGTCGGAACAATCTGTGCTATTTGCACAGCAACCGGCTATCCTTGTTAAATATGTGGCTATATTCGGAGTCGACTGCCACCACGGCTATATTGTTGTTGCTGTAGATTTTTCTGAGTAACTTTGGTTTATTTTGAAGACTCACCTGAAATCCAAGATGAAGAGAAGGCACATCCCTCAATTAGCCGAATGAACAAACACATGTTCACATAGACTACATCATCTTCTACTTTGTACGTAAACGCGAACACCGCATTACATAATATGCTCCCGATACAGCCCACAATAAAATATTTAAGGTAATTACTAGAATTGATCAAATAAGGAAATAAGAGGAGACTGGAGAAGAAAATAGCGACGTCATCTTGACCCACAATGACCCCTGTGAAATAGGCAGGTATCCCTCGATCCTCTTCAGAGACGATTGAGACGACAGGCGCAACTGCAGCTATTGTAGCACCTTGGCAGAAGTATATCAAAGAGGCGAACGTTAATTTAGCATACTGTCGCCATTTGTTGTTCATTTTCACCCTGATTTGGTATTATCCCACACTTGGGCATTCGAAATAATGAGTGCTCAATCATGCAAGCGGAATTTCAATATAACTTTGATTATTTTACTTTCAATAAAAATCTCAAAAAAGGGATCTATAATAAACATTTTTTAAAACTATCAATACTGATGTTTAGCCATACATAAAACCTTTGTAACGTCATTTTTTTGAATTATATTCACTGAAGCGTTCGAATAAAACTTGGTCAAAAAGATGGCGTCGTTTTAGATGTTTTAATTGTTTTTCGCACGTTTAGTTTCAGATTATGAAGGTTGAGTTCAGATACAAAAAAGGACAGGAATTTGTACAACATGGTATATTTTGTTCAATCAAATGCATCTACCCGTGAAAAATAGCTTCGTTGGATGAGGATTTTTCCATTTAAAAAAACGAAATTTATCGTTTAATGATAAAAAATTAACGCTTCAGTGAACTTCAGATTCAAAACTTTTTCCGACTATTTTCAATTGAGAACTTCTTGACTACTTTTTCAGTGCTATGAAAACATCGACAGAAAGTTGTAGTGAGTAGCTACTAACTACTATGTATTCTATGTAGAAGTTGAAGAACTCGTGAGACAGGATTGCAACATAGAGGGCAGGATTTTTCCAAAATTTATCGTAAATTATTTTGTCCACCTTGTGTATGATCGACCAAAAATTGATATTCCGAGCACTTCCAAAACTCAAAAACACCTATTTGGGCACCGCAGTTAAATTTTTTTTAAAAAGGGCAAAAAAACCGTATTTTGACGTTTTTGGAAAAAAAATTTAACGCGCATGTCTTATTCAAAGATAATTTCGGGGGTTAATGAGCCAAAACCGATGCCCTAAAATTGTTTCAAAGGTGATCAGGGTGTCGAAATCTTGAGGAAGGGCCTTTCGAATACCGACTGACATAAGTTTTGTTCATCGACAACCTTCATGAATAACACTTATATATATATTTTCAATATTTCTTGCTTTTCATTTCCTAATACTGGCTGAAGATTTACCGACTAGCACGATGGAGCAAAGGACTTGATAGTTTTTTTTTGGCTAGTTTTGTTCCATACTATCACTTACGTAAGCTTATGGACTAAGAAGTTGAGTATATGGCATATATCTGGCGAAATATGGCAGATGACTATGAGGCAGATGACGCTGATGAAGTAGCTTTGAAGTTATAACCCGGATAATTGTTATCGGAGATTAAAAAAAAACTGGATGGGATGGTTCAAAAATTTGACATCCACTCGTTGATGCACTAGTTTTTGACCCTAGCATTTTAAATAAAACAGTTCTCTAATTATTAATTAAAGGCTAATGAAACTTTTTAGTTTGTTGCTGACATCGTGAGCCTTTCAGTTTAAATTTGTTGTTCATTTTTGAGGTGCAGTTTATTTCCATTCAAAGTTTTGAAAAATTTTGTTTGCAGAAAGCATGCACTCATTTTTTTGAAAACAATATCAGTTGCTTCTCAAAAAATTTATCTATCAAATTTGGAGCTACTGTATATTTCAGGCTCATCTCTAAATTGCGCATTGAATTGAAAACGCCTGATTTACTTAGCTTTTCTGAGAAAAATTTATCTAACAATTTTGGATCGGTTCAGTGGCAGTTTTTAAAGATGCGCTGTACATTTGATTTTTTAACCATTACCTGGGTTTTTGTACTTCTTCCGCCCAAACATTTTTAACCTGAAACTACTTTGTTTCAATCTGATTGGCTAGAACTAGCCAATAAAATTGCAGCACCATCTCAAAATGTTTTGTTCACTATTTTAAATCAATTTATAGATAAACGACTTCTTGAAAATGGAGTGTTTGTTATATTATTCAAATTTCATTTCAAACAAGCTGCCGAATTCTATCCAGACCAAAAAAAAACAGAAAAAAACTTAAAGAAAAAGAATGACCACCATCACATCTGCTCAAAATCCGGCTCTGTAAAAAATCGGCTAAAAAATAGAGTGATCGCATTTGTATTATCCAAAGCAATCATTGCTATCAGTGTTCTGTTCTGAAATGAACGGTTGGGCGGAATAAGTGAAAATACCCCAGTATTTTACAACTGATTTATTGTACCCAGAGTTTTTTTTTTAAAATTTTGATTGATATAATGATTAGTTCTACAAATGAACAGTTCTCATATCTATTGTTGTACTTTTTGGTAAAGCATTGTTTTTTTTTGTTGTAAGGGCTGTTGATAACCCACAGGCCATTATTTGGGCGTTTTTCAAAATGAGTTTTTATGTTTCAGCATCAATCTTACTAAAACACCAACAATCAAAATCAAGTGAGGGTGCTGTGGTAAGAGTTTAAGCAATGCAACAGGTAGGGAGCTTTTTTTGAGGAGAAAGGTTTGCTAATGAAAATTTCACTAGCCAGCTAACAACAATTTTTAGCGTTTAAAACAAGTTTCATTAGCAAATTTTTTATGATATTTCACTCTTCGCTCATCCTTTAGTCATCAAAAAAGAACATCATGGGTTTAGAAGCTCCAAATATTACAACTTTTGTTTGATATTATGAACCTAATTTGAGAAAAATTACTAATTAGACTACTGTTTTTAATTGCATCTAGCCAATAATACGTTAGTTAGGAATGGTTGGTGCAAAATGAAATTGAAAAATAACTTTGATTAAATATTCGAAGTTGGACCAAGGCAACAGTAAATGATGGAACTCATTAACATAGTATCAAATATAAAATTGCAATTTGCGTCTATGCTTTAGTTCGAGCATATTGATGTTCCGAATTTTCACAAAACAAAACTTTTCCGGGCACTTTTGGAAGTTTTTAACAAACTTCATTTTCATGGACCGAAATCTCCTCTCAAAATTTGTAAAAACTCACGCTTGAGGCCTGTAAAGAAACATTTTAGGTTCAGTAGCTGAAAATGGATTGCTTGATCAAATACTTCGTCTCCCTCCAATTATTCCACTACTGGCTAAATTATAGTCGAATCAGAGCTTTTCTAATCAATGATTTGATGTTTTATCGCCAAAATCAATCACTTCAACTTTGAATTTAACCAGATGGAATACCTTTTCAAAGTTAATATCATACTGTCATAGTTCGAGCATATTGATGTTCCAAATTTTCACAAAACAAAACTTTTCCGGGCACTTTTGGAAGTTTTTAACAAACTTCATTTTCATGGACCGAAATCTCCTCTCAAAATTTGTAAAAACTCACGCTTGAGGCCTGTAAAGAAACATTTTAGGTTCAGTAGCTGAAAATGGATTGCTTGATCAAATACTTCGTCTCCCTCCAATTATTCCACTACTGGCTAAATTATAGTCGAATCAGAGCTTTTCTAATCAATGATTTGATGTTTTATCACCAAAATCAATCACTTCAACTTTGAATTTAACCAGATGGAATACCTTTTCAAAGTTAATATCATACTGTCATAGTTTATTATTAAACGCAGGCAACAAAATATTGGAAAAAATTTTTCATGAATACACTACGTTTTGTTTTGTTTGATATCTGAGTTCCAAAAAAAATTCAACTTTTTTGAAGCCAAGAAAATCGAAAAAAATGGATATAAAATAGTATAAAAAATTGAATCAAACTAGGGATAAAACATACAACAAATTAAAATGAAAAACAATGAAACAAAAAACAATCACTCTATTTTTAGTAAAACTCAAGTTTATTATTTTGAAATTTTTTCCATTGTTTTAAGATGTTTTAATGTTAAAATTTTTCAATGATGGACACCTTTTGCCTGCAAAATAGTTTGACTTGAGCAAATTTGATCAGTAACGAGGTTTTGGTAGCAGCTTTTTAACAAAAAAAATTTAAGAACAAAATGTCAAATTCAATTGTTTTTTGCTAGTTTTGTCTTATTATGATTTTTGAAAAACCAAAAATTACTTTCATCCAATGAGGGAATAAGAATCAGATAAAAAAACAAAATAAATCAACAGTAAAAAAAAACGTGTTTGTTTTTGAACAGTAAAAAAATACAGAGTTTAGATAAAACTGCTACAGTCGAAGCGCATCCGCAAATGTACCGAACGCTTTTTGCTTAAGAAAATTTTATGAAACTGTTCGAGAAAAAAAACGATTTCATTAATATAAATATTTATTTCTGAATTCTATCCCACACAATGTTAAAAAAAATTGATACTTTTAGGTCACTCTTCTCAAATCAACTTGAATTGATTCACTTAAGCCGCCTACGCTTTAATGGAATAAAAATACTCCGCGTTAATTATCCCTTTTAGATTATTGTCGTCAACATAATACCAATTCAAGTCATTATAAATTTACGAGAAATGATCACATTTGAAATATCTTTCAAGTATGAGCCCTGGACATCAATTTTTTCTGTCGAAAATTGCTAGTTGAAAAATTGAAACTGTTTGGTGAAAAAACTTCCTTGGTGCACCTCTATTCCGCCATTTTCTTTGAAAGTTGGAGCAATGGAAAACCAACGCAATGAAGTACAGTTGAATAAATTTTGCCTCGAGTATAAACTACGTGTTTTATATGCGCATAACTTTCAAATTATTTAATTGTAGTTTTGATGAAATCAGACTGCATTGCCTTCATTAAATCGTATGCGTATGTTAGGAACAATACGGGTCACGGTTTTTTATCTAGCAAGGTTTTGTTCAATAACCTCATGAAAAATTACAAGTAAGATGATATCAGTTTTTACCGCATAAATGTTGAATTTTTTAAACTACTTTTCAACGAACCGTATACTGTTCCTTACACGCGTACTGTAGTTCATTCTTGCGTTTTCCATTGAGCTATCTAGTTAATCAGCAGTTTGCGGCTTTTTCTAAATTTACTAATTGGTTTTGAACTTTTTGATAGGGTTAAGAATAAAAATTTCGACTCACTAAAAATTTTCCGGAAATTTAGCTCAAATTAAGTGACAACAATGATGCGAAAAAATGAATTTATTGCTGAAACTTTAATTCAATCAGTGGTTGTGAATTTCGTTCATACTTTTCATATTCATCTAATCGAAATCTCACATAAAGTTATTGGTGTTGCATTTATCATGTTTTGTTGTTAAGATGATGCTCTTTCTGCGTTTTCACTAGACCTATAAGATAATCTAATTTTTTGCGATTGTTTTCCTCGCCTCTCAGCTGCTCTAAAACAGGCTAGACGACGGCTGAAAAGAGCAAAATACTGCAATAAGAATTGAAAAATAAAAATTAGGGTTGTAAATCACGTTTGTGACAATTGCGTTGGCATTTGAAAGCATGCTTCGTTTCTTCTGAATTTTGGCA